AGGTCTTGCTATGGTTTGGACGGCGGTCGCGTGCGAACTCATCAATCTCCTTTAAATTATTCATACTAAGTAACAAAATTATTCATGAAATGTCATCGACGTGATCATTGTTTTGCTCACCTTGAAACTTCGCCTGAATGGCACGCTGTTTAGTCTAAGAAAACAGTAACATATTTATGTTGTGTAAATTATAACAAATATTTCGACAGATGCCAGAACAGAGACTCACTAAACGGAGTCCCTTGATAAACGCTCATTGAATCTGCACACAGCAAACCCAAAGACCGGAAAGCCAGGCTATAGCGAAGGGAGATCAGAGATCGTCGAGAGCGCCTCAGAATTTATCCCGCGGAGACCACCCGATTAGATGAATGAACGGACCATTGGAGTATCCTCACGAAGCTACACAGCGGTCAGGAAGGAACAGCGAACGCTGAGGACGAATTAATGAATTACTGTAGGAAAAAACTATAGCTTAATAGATCGAGAAACGTTGGAAAGCCTGGAAAATATATTTTATGGATGGACATTTAGTTGCTTGTTTCAGAGTACAACAGCAACAGTTATGAAATATTTAATTTAGCGTTTGTTACCAAGCATGGGCTACAAACAAAATGTTATTTGCTTATTATGTTCATCTCATGCGCTTTTAAAACACGATTTTTGTTCAAAGTCAGTTGCAACAGAAACGTGCTCTTCAAGTATTTTGTTTGCAGTATACGTACGCTGCCGATGCATTAGACAATAGTACTGTTCCAATAGCAGCAGCAAGGAGGGTTTACCTTCAGCTCTGCAAGCCGTAGAGGAAACGTGTGGAGATCAGTTTGAAAATAAAGTGACGAATTCCGCAGGCAGCCATCCCCTCACCGTCCTTTATGGATGTGAGAAGTCCAAGACGTGAGGAAACTAGAATCCTTCGATGACTAGAGCTTGCGAATGATCTCGATCACAGATTCAAAGCCACAGTCCGTCCGCATGCAGCATCATCTAGTTGTCCAGTGTTCTGAAAGAACGGTGACTGCCTTGTCTGGGGCTCGTACTGAGATATCCATCAAACGATATCTCTTTCATGACGCTGAACGTCACCTCGATCCCTGGAGAGGAGGAAAAGTTTAGATCTGGTGCAATACAGTCATGACTAACGCTGGTAATGCAGTAGACGGATTCGAAGGATAAGAAAATGGCTGACAAACTTGACGAAGGGCATATCGCATGACCGATAGTGGTGGAAATTAGCCATCCAGGATGTCGTTCGAATCGGCCAAGCCAATGGCGGGGACAATCGCAACAACAACAATATATATCATCTGCATCGCTTGTTTATAAGCTGTTATTTATTCCGTATACACTCTGTAAATTCAGTCTTACGTGTGTACTTGTCTAAACGAGGAGTTAAAAACCAGAGTCAAAGAGCACCCCACGAATTTTCGAGTTATCATCAGAGGTTGACAGACTATGCTATGGCTTTGATAGAAATTTGTCTAGAAAAAGGCCTCTCTGACTAAAAATCCAATTTGAGGGGTTTTAGTGCCATCGTTTATTCATACCTATCCCCCTGGATAAAAGCATCGTAAAATATTTTCACCTGTAGTCCATCCTCTGAACGACTGATGAACCACCACTGGGCAAGATGACTGGATGATCCAAAAAAGTCTTGGTGCAATGATTCCTCTGAAAGGAGGTGATATTCATCATTTTCATTTAAAATTTAGGCGTCATCATCAGTAGTGATAATCTGTCCATATCGGTTGTTTTTCATCATCTTTTGAGGTGGAAAAACTGTGTCAAGGGTCGAGTACCTAGATTAATAATAACCGACACTCCTGACTTGTCGGGATGATTTACGCGATGCTGCTTTACTGCATTATTGTCGGTCTTGCTGCCTGACAATTTCGAGACATCCAAATTGTTTAGGTTGTGACATTCATCGAGTACGGTTAAGCTGACCGATGCACGCAAACTGTCCTTCTCTCTTATGCTGTGTCTTGAAAGATACGTACTTTTAAACTTTGCTTTTTCTTGACCCCCTGCATCATGGAATAACGTTCTCTTAAGCAAGTTACTTTGGAAGTGGTGCAACGTGGCAAAAGGAAAACAGAACGCAAAAATGAGACAGGAAACACGAGAAACGAAGCAAGGGAAATGGAAGTCGAATTTGTCGTCCACTGGCCAGGCCAGAGAGAATCTTCGACGATGACAAAGTCAACCAGATTTCATTTTAGAAGACCTGTTCCTAGGACCTGAATCCGTGTGAATCCCTTCTAAGAACAAACAGTTGATTTCACCTACAAACAGCTGGAAGCACGTATCCGTTTATTGTTAAGAATCGATAGAACAGACAGTTTCTGGAGTGCACATGATTTTCTGAGTGGGTTGCAGAAAAAGCAAGGCAAAGAAAGATTAAGTCCACTTCAATGGCACAAACTGGTTTTCTGCATGTGACTACTGACCCATAAACGCAAATGCATTAACTGCGAGTTTTAATGAGCTAGTGTTCACCGACATGTAGCGAAATATCAAAAAATGTTCCCCGTAAATATGGACGCAACATTTATGACTGATTTTCATAATACGTTCAGAAATCCTCGCTAAGCTACTGTGCTCCACGTGCAAATAGGATAACATCGCTATTCGACGGACACTTAAGCTGGCAGGCTGGCTGTTCAAGCAACTCAAGCAACAAGGTCGTCCGTACGTGAGCCGATCGTCGTCGTTCATAGATGACTTGCAAGGGCAAATATTTACGGACCAACCCGTCGTCGCGCGCTAAGCACTTGCAGGACACCGTTGTGGACTGCCAACGGGGGACTCGGCCGCTAATGCATGAGAAAACCAGATCCGTTGTTCGTACGACGTGCCATTGGCACGCCCTTAACGCAACTCTCCCTTTTACATAATTACTACTAATTATGGCAATGACGTACGGTTGCCAGTTTTCAGAGGAAAACAAAACAAAACCGTTGACAGTAGGAAAACCGCATGATTGTGCTCCTCTCTCGCTTTGATTCAGCTGGCCGCTGACCACTTTTACCGTTAGCTTTACTGTAGTTAGTGTGATCGATCCATA